TAATATTACTCTAGAAAATCAAATTCTTTAAAAGAAAAATGGCTGGATTCAACCACCCCTGAAGCTGGCCCTGCCTCTGGACTTTTCATTGATCTGAGTCAACCATCTCCTTCACTATTTAAGTTGGAGTGGGCTGGATTTTCCAAGACTTCCAACCTAATGCACCCTAACTGCACACCCGGGCAGAACAAGTACAAGGTGCTGGACTCCATACCCAGCCAACACTGATGAATAATGACCCCGACACTGGAGAGCCTCCATCCACAAAACCCCTGCAGGCAACCTGAAGGGAGAGTGCTTGACCTCAGACAGAACTGAACTCAAGCCCCGTCTGCAAACAGCAGCTCCACCACAGGCAAGTGAAAACCAAAATTTTTAGTCCTTACAGCTGAATGCTATTAGACAGGCAAAGCCAACATATTCTATTAATCTTAGAACAAAGATTATTTATTAAAGATAGACCAAACCAGAGATAAAAAGCAAAGGTGCTGCTTACAACCAAGAACAGAGAAGTGTGCAGAATGGGGTGGCTGGTTGTGGGAGGGGTGGCACTCAGGAATTTTTGCTTTTGGAAATTTTTTTTAGTGGAAATCAGAACTAACCTCAGTTGTTTCTCCCTGCAGCCCAGGCCTTAAATTTAATCCCATCTTAAAACCTTTCTGAACAAATATGCAAACTTTTAGTTTTGGTTTTAAATACTATGCCAGTTACTAGCCTTACTTAACAGAATAATTTATGGCATCTAAGTCAATAGCATTTAGCTAAAAATGAGCAAAAGGCACATAAAAATTATCTCAAACAGTGTTTCTTGAATCACATCATTTGAGGGATATTTCACTAGTTGCAGATGTTATGACAGTATATATAGAAAACCCTAAAGATTTTACCAAAAAGCTATTAAAATTAATAAATGAATTCAGTAAAGTTGCTGGATACAAGTCAATATACAAAAACCTGTTGCATTTCTATATACAAATAAAGATCCAGCAGTAAGAGAAATTAAGTAAACAATCCCAATTACAATTGCATCAAAAAGAATAAACACCTAGGAATAAATCTAACCAAGGAGGGGAAAGACCTGCACTCTAAAAACTGTAGAAATCGAAGATGACACAAACGAATGGAAAGCTATTCCGTGCTCATGAACAGGAAGCGCCAATACCGTTAAAGTAGCCAGGCCACCCGAAGCAACCTGCAGAGTCAATGTGATCCCTATCAAAATACCAATGGCATTTTTCACAGAACTAAAGCAAATAATCCTAAAATCCGTGTGAACAACAAAAGCCCCCAAAGAGCCAAAGCCACCTTGAGAAAAAACAACAAAACTGGGGATATCACATTCCCTGATTTCAAACTATACTAAAAAGCTACAGTAATCAACACAGTATGGTACTGGAACAAAAACAGATATATAGATAATGGAATAGAATACAAAGTCCACAAATAAACCCACACTTACATGGTCAACTATTATATTATATGGCAAGAATATATAGTGTGGAAAAAAAAGTCTCTTCAATACTGTTGGGAAAACTGGGTACTACATGCAAAAGAATAAAACTGTATCACTGTCTTCTACTATCTACAAAAATGAACTCAAAATGGACTAAAGACCTAAACATAAGTAAGACTCCTAGAAGAAAACATAGGCAATAAGCTCTTGAACACTGGCATAAGTAATTTTTTTCCCAGGCAAGGAAAACAAAAGCAAAAATAACCACATGGGACAATATCAAACTAAAATGCTCTGCAAAGCAAAGGAAACCATCACAAAACCAAAAGGCAACCTACTGAAGGGGAGTATATATTTACTAATAACATACCCAATAAAGGGCTAATACCCAAAATATATAAGGAATTCACACAACACACACACACACACACACACACACACACACACACACACAGAAAAATCCAATTAAAAAACAGGCAGAAAAGTTGAATAAACATTCTCCCAAAGACATACAGATGCCAACAGACACATGAAAAGATGCTCAACATCACTGATCATTAGGGAAATGCTAATCAAAACCACAGTGAGATGTCACCTCACACCAGTCAGAATGGCTGCTGTCAACAAGAAATAACCAGTGTTGGTGAGGATGTGGTAAAAAGGGAACCCTTGTATGTACACTCTTGGTGGGAATGTAAACTGGTGCAGCCATTATGGAATACGGTATGGAAGTGCCATCTCTGTCAATACCAAGTGCAATGGTGTATTTTTTCCCTATATCTATGTATAACAGTAACAATATTATACACAGCAGTAATATAATCATAGTATAACTTCACTTGGATACCCAGACCTGATTCCAAAGTGGGTAAATATGTAGGAGGGGGTCTTCCCACACATACTTACACCAAGCAATTCTTGAACACCAGCAGGGTGTTGGAGAACTCAACTCAATCCTGATGCTATCTGCCCAGAGACAGCACCAGATTCCCAGGTTAAGGGTTCCGTCCTACAAGACTGCCCTCCACCCCCCAATTGCAGACGCTAGTCACAAGCTCCAGGCATTACCTGTGCTTCTGACCTACCGGCCACAGATCAGAGATTGCCACGACCTCCCCTGTAGGTTTGATTAATTTGCTAGAGAAGCTCACAGAACTCAGGTGTGGGTAAAATTATGACATTTCCAGATTATCTTGCCTGGCTTTAGTTCATTTGCATATCCTCAGGGGTGGAAGGAAGTTCATCTCTGTGTCAATGAGTAATTACCTGGGCATCCGAGGGTATGTCTGAACCTGATAGTTCAAGGGGAGGGGCTGACTGGCTGGCTAGCTTTCTTCCGCAGCAGGGGAAAGAGGGACGGTGCTGGACTGCAGTTTGTAAGCCATAAACGGGTTTTAAACTTTATTTCTCCCTTTGACTGATTTCGGTTTTTAGAGGTATTTTGCCCTCGGATTTCCTCACCCTGGACTTGCATCAGGAAAACACATTTACCAGTTTAGTAAAGGATACCATACAGGATACAAGTTAACAGCCAGATGAAGAGAGACACAGAGCAAGGTCCCAAATGCAGGAGCTTCTGTCCTCATGGAGCTGAGGGCCTGGCCAGGTGTAACCATCACCTAAATCAACATAATCAATCAAGATAATCGGAGGCATTCCAGTTCCCCAAGCGTAGAAGTCCCTTCGACCAAAAAGCAGGATCCAACCGAGCATGTAAATCAGAGTGAGCAAGCTCTTCTCACAGGTTTTGTGAGGGCTTCATCGCAAAGTCATGACTGACTAAATTACTGGCCACTGGCTGATTCAACCTCCATCCCCTACCCTTGGATGGGGGTCCAAAAGTCTCTCATTAACATGACAAAATGCCTGTTTCACCTTTAAGACTATAGTGTTTTCAGAAACTGTGGATGAAGACCAACTATAACTCATTACATCACAGTAGGTTTCCCAAAATACTAAAAATAGAAATACCAAACAACCCAGCAATTCCACCTCTGGAGAACTTACCCAAAGAAAACACAATCACTAAATCAAAAAGATATGCACTCCTGTGTTTATCGCAGCATTCTTTCAACAGCCAAAACATAGAACCAACCTAAATGTCCATCAGCATATGAATGGATGAAGAAGATGTGGTACATACACAATGGAATATTATACAGTCATAAAATAGAATGAAATATTGCCATTTGTGACAACACAGATGGACCTGGAGGGTATTATGCTAAGTGAAAGAAGTCAGACAACGAAAGACAAATACCATTCGATTTCACTCATACGTGGAATCTAAAAAACAAAGAATGAAACAACTGAACAGACAAAAACAGAAATAGATTCATAAACACAGAAAACAGACTGGTGGCTGTCACTTGGCGGGGATAGGTGAAATAGGTGAAGGGACAGAATTGGTGAGAATGTTTGATCATCTTGATTTAGGTGATGGTTACGCATGTCAAAATTCATCAAGCTGTACACTAAAATTTGTAGATTTTATTGTATGTACCTCAATTTTTAAAAATCTAAAAAAGAAAAAGGGACATTTAAACCTCAGAAATGTTTAATCCTTTGTTTTATTAGCCAAGTAGCCAATTCCTTTGGCACAGTAAGCTTGAAAAAATGACCCAGGTTTTAATAACCTCACAGGAAAGCCCCAGCAACCTGGGAACGTCTTTCCAGACTCTTGATCAAATCAGTGGGGTCACAGGGACTCCAGACTACAGGAAAATGAGTGGAAATGGAAGCACCGTGCTAACCTCTGCTAACATTGGCAGCAGGCTCCAATTTACCACCAAATAAATCTCCAGTAGCCACAGGAGGGATTGCCAGGAAAAGAGAAGGAGGAAGCCCGTTTCCAAGGGGGTAACGACCTCTTGATAGCATCGCTCCAAGCCTCCAAAGCTACTTATGCGCCTACATGCAGAGGCCGAGATCAAAACTTCAGAACACCCCTGGTCCACTGGGACCTGACTACACATCAGCACCGACTCGTTCTGCGGGCAGAGTGAAAAAGGCCCAGGTCTAGAACTGCAACCACAGCCACAGGAAGTTCCCCAAGTGGTCATAAAGTCTGTCGAACAGCCTCCTCAACACCACTTCCCAACGTCTAGGAAGAATTTTAGAAGACTGCTAGAAAAAGCAATGATCCACAATTCTCTAAGTGTTGATGCCCTTAAATGTTCACTCCTCCCTTTATTAAGCCAGAAGGATTATACCTACCTTCTATGTAAGAGAATACGATTTTTACTGCTAAAGGGTAAAGCTTAAATGCCATTATGACTTCTAAGAATTTCCATGTTCCTAATGACTTACAAAAGCCGTAAGTTTTAGTCTGTTCTTGACGAAAGTATCCTCAACATCACACAAATACTAAAATCATCTAATGATAAATGCGAAGGTATCATGAATAAGAACTAAAACCAAGACTTATCAACAGCAGCCAGAATATACCCACTTTCGGGCTGAAAGGTAAGGCCACTCCTCACCACACCTTTCCCTCGTCAGCTGTCTAGGTCTCAAGGAGGTGAGCACAGCCTCTCGTCCGACTCACCTGAATTCTCTGCCTTCGCTGTGCCGTCTACTTGAGGAGGCTCGCGGGGCGGCTGTCTCCAGGAGCAGCTTCTGCGTGAGCCTTCCGGGGGGATCAGGGTCTCTGCCATCATCTTCGTCTATGTCCTGGTCGCACTTCCATTCCTCATCTTCATTCAAAGTGGGCAGGTATCCGGGGATGCCCTTTCCTGTCCCTGACCCAGGGCTCTGGTCACTACAGAGCTTGGGGCTCTCTGAGCCTGTCCTTGTATACTCCAAATAAATATCGGACTTGAGGAATGAGGGGTAGGTATTCTCCTCCATGGTGGACTGGATTTCTGTCTGGGCCTGGTCAAACATGGCAGGATCGATCAGCTGCTTCATGATGCAGTCCTTTATGAAGCTCCTGGTGGCTGGCTTGGTTTGCCTGGACACAATGCCATTATTGTCAAGGATGTACTTTCGGTAAATAGCTTTGGCCAGCTTCAGCCTTTTCTCCTCATTTGCATCACAGGGCTCCAGTTTCCTGAAGCCACTGCAGGCAAACCAGAAGTCCAGCAGATCGGCACAGTCCTCCTGCTTCAGGAAAGCCCTGAACAGGTTTATCCCGTCTTGATCGTCTAGTAAGGAGTGCAGAGACTCGGCCCACTTCAAGTAAGGTGGGGTGGGTGAAGCGCTGCCCTCAGGCTCATACCCCAGGTCCAGATCTGAGCGCCTTGGAGTGGCTGCTGAAGTCTCACCTTTGATCCCGGCACCCTTCCCGGAGCAGAAGCTGTGGCTGATGGGCCTGGGGTCTGTGGACACCAGCTCACCCTCCTCACCAGGCACTGGGGGACGGGGGGCATCTTCAGTGAAACTTGCTCCAAGGTCCAAGGGAAAACCCTGCTCTTGGACATTCATTTTGGGACTGTGCACCAATGAGCAACGAGCGCTGCGCCCTAATACATCAGTACTTACAGCTCCAAAGGGAATCAATCTGTCCTGTTGAAACCATTAAGAGGACAAGCATTAGGAAAAGTGGGTCCATGGAATCATACTTCAGAGGTTTTCTCAAGACAAAATTCACAGTGATGCCCTCCCACTCGAACTCAAAGTGGAAATTCAGTTTATATTTTCAATCTTTCATCACAAGGTTTGTACTATATTAGAACAGTTCCTGGAAGCTTTTACATCTACAGGAATATCTCCAGCACTAAAAAATTAATGCTCAAGACACAGAGAACACCAACTCCCCTAGTATCATTCTGTGAGAACATCACAGGGCTTGGCAGCCTGGGGACCTCCCATCTTGGCCATAACCAGTCCTTCCCTCTAAGCTCCAGGAAGGCAGGAGGCCTGGAAGAAAAAAAGGCGCTTTCAATCCTCCTAGTTGTATAAACTTGCATGACAGCCAGTCCCGCACATGTAAGATGAGGATGGGCACCCTACCTGCCCCATGGGCTCTGTGACACTCAGAAATGAAAAGGAAGGCCCATCACAAACCGTAAGGTGGTGGTCGTGTCCACTCCCCACATTCGCTAGGCCCACAAGTCGCCATGCTTTCTACCTACCCTACCCCATCACTTCACACTTAGCATGCCTCACAACATACGAAACACACAGCAAGTTGCTCCTTCCTCAGCACACCTAAAAAGAGCAGTTAATCATAGGTCACCTTCAGCATCAACTGAGCAAACAAAGGACACCATCCACATGCACGTGCACAGGGGCCTTCTCACACTGCCAATGTGGACAATCTTAAAAATGCTTCCACCAGAAAGGCACACTTAACTCTTAAAACCAGGCTTATAAGGAAAGTATCCTTCGGATAACAATGAGCACTATAAGGAACAGAGAAGGCATGGAGAAAAAGAGATCAGAACACAATTAATTCTTTTTGACACAGAAAGCATACAACTCACGTAGCTCCACAGGCTGAAAACCAAACCACCCACCTACTGAAGAGGTCAGGGAACTATGGGTTTCATTCCCTCTGCTGCTACAAGCCTGTCTTGGGTCTGAGGGGAGACTGTCCCCAGTCAGAACTCTGCCATGGTCTCTAGTCCTCCCTATCACATCCTACAGGAGCTCACAGAGCCCATGAACTTGGGCTAATAAGCCTCCCAACCTGGCCAAAGAGGATGACTGCAACAAAGCCTGCCACAGTGCAAGAAGCATGTAAGAAGCTAGAAGAACGCTTAAAAGAAGCATGTCAGTTCCAAATGCCTGCAGCTCTGAACAAGACAGGAGAAGCAAAATAAAATCCTAAAACCTGGACCAACACAAAGGATAGCTCTATCTGGCCACCACCACTAAGCATTCTTGGCCTGGGCCTACATGTGATCTGCCCCCTAAGCATTCTCACACTGCACATACTTCGCCTGCCAGCAGCTTTGATAGCTGCAAGCGAGAAGCATCCAGAAAAGGACAATGGATCACAAATATGTGCCCCAAATGACATTTCCACAGATAACGACTTTTTATGAAAACTACTGGTAGGCTGCAATCTAGGCCTCAGCAAGAACAGCAGGAAAAGCCTGTTTCTTATTCTTAAGGTCAAGGCTCACAGGCTGTGCACCCTGCTGCTCATGGACCACTTCCACGGCAGTCGCATTCTTGGAGCCCCACCAACATGTAATGAGCAACTTCACTGTCTTAGCTCCACTCCAGCTCATCGACTACTGTCTAATGTACTCTTGTCCCAGATGCCACCTCAGGAAAGAAGGCCCACACCCAGCCCCGAGCCTATCCTTAGAGATACTCTGTGGTTATTAGCCTTGAGTAAGAACCAAGTCACTGTGTTCGAATGGGAGGTTAATTCTGAGTCACTGCCACTTTCTCTTAAGATGCTCACATCTTCTACGTAAGTTATTTGTCGCAGTCTGATTTAAACATCTTCTGCAGGACACACAGCACCGAGCACAAGGTCTTGCAACTAATGGAGCCAATACATTTAATTCATCAACAATAAAGGAAAACAACGGTTGTTACAGATGCTGAACATCACTTAACAGATGTTGAACCATTATGCATAGAAAGAGCAACAAAGTCAAGACTGACCCCTTTATTACAAAACTGTGGCTGTCTTAAAAGACTAACATTTTAATTCACGTGTGAACAAGTTCCCAGAATCATTCAAAATTACTTTTCATTGCCCAGAAGAAACATTTCTTAAAATTCAGATCTATTTTTGGCTGTCAACTGGCAGAAGACCTTTGGTGTTCCTGGAAGCACATGAACCTCTCCGAATTACTGACATTACTACAACGTGCTTCAACTCCTGCAATCTCTGCGCTCCCACACAGAAGCACACCGAGTATTTAGTGCACACACGTACACACCACACACAAAGCGGTCACATTGATTCAGGTTGGAGTCAAATGCCCACAAGCACTGAATCTGGCCAACAGCCTGTAACCACCACCAATAAAGGGACTCCATTAAAGGAATCTACAGCTCTGATACTGCATTTAAAAATCTCCTTTAGTCACTACCAAAGCATACCCCCTGGGTACCACAGCAGCCTACTCGATGCTATAGATGTGTATATATTTATTTTACTCAAATAAAACTTTTGAACTTTTTGATTCATGTAGAGCATAGAAGTAACAGAGCGTGACTCTGACATTTTCCCAACTGTCCATTAAACTCTTCAAGGATTAGGGCTACTATTTTACATGTAATCCATCCCCCCACCGCCTAAATTCTCAATGACCAATGTAACCCAAAAAAGTCCATTTAGCTTCTCTGAAACTACAAATCCAAGAAACACCAACACCTGCTGAAAATCGAACAGAAACACTGTATTGTATATGCTTTCCAATCCTCCTTCCCTGAACAGAAGTTCTTAAAATTGAGACCCAGATACTGCTGACTCTCTTGGGAGTCAGGTTCAGCCTGTGTCTGTTCTCCAACACAGGGCCTGTGGGAGCGAGTATGCTTGAGATTCTTCCTGAAAAAGCAGGGGACACAAGTGCAAGCAAAAAGGGGCACAATAAGAACTCTTCATAATGAAAACTACCTTAGAGCGGTAGCGCTAGACTGAGAAAAATCCTCAGAGAACTGACGCACTTTGCTCTACTGACTTCAGTGCTGAGCTGAAGTTTCAGCGCCCTGGCTGTGCAGCTCGTTTCACGGGAGACTGAATTCCAAAACCTGGGAGAAGGCTGGACTCTAGGACCCACACTCAAAAGTGGGTTCCTGGGGCGAGGCGCAGACCTGAGAACAGCCACCCCGACGAGCCGGCCACGGGACGCAGCCTCAGGCACCCCTGCCGCGAGGGAATGCCCTCCGCGGTCCCGACGAGCGCCGGGGGTCCTGGGGCGGGGGCGGGGGCGCTCCGGGTCCACCCGTCCCCAGGATCCTGCACACAACGTCCGGACCCAGACGCTACGCTGCCCCTCACCCACACCCGGAAACATGCCCAGGCGCACGGACCGCACCGTGCAAACCCAGCCCATCGGTGCGGACGCCGGCCTCCTCCCGGAGGCCCGCCGCCCCTCCCCGAGTCCCGTATCTTCCTCACAGCCTCCACTCACCTAGAGCGCCCGCTCTGCTGAACAAACCCCGCACTGCCCCCATTTCACACACCCAACGTCGCCGGCTCTGGCCTTCTTCCCCTGCTGCGAGAATCTACGGACAAACCTGCGCACAAGGCTTTCCGCCCGGCCCGCACAGCCTCCCCGCAGGACCTGCTCTCTCCCCGCCCGGCCTGCGCGGCCTACACGCGCCGCACAGCCCGCGCCCCGCAGGAACGCGCGCCGGAGCAAACTACTCACCGGCGCGCGGCTGCGGCACGGCCCACGCGCTCAACGGCGGCGCTGCGGAAGGAACGGAACGTTGGCGCGGCCCCGGGCGGCCCCCATCGCGGCGGCGGCGCGACGGCCCGAAGGCGGGCGCGTGGCAGGCCGCGGGGACGCCGCCGCCGAGGCCGGCCGCCCGCTCTCACCGGCACGCTCCGGGAGACGCAGCTCCAGCCCGACTCCGGCCGGTCCTGCGGCGGCGGCGGCGGCGGCGGCGGCCGCAACCGCTTCCCGGAGCCGGGAGCCCGAGGCCACAGCGCCGGAGCCCAGGCCCGAGCGCCCCCGCCGGCGCCGCCCGGAAGTGCGGGGGCGGAGCCGACGGCGAGAGGCGGGGCGCGGAGCCAACGACAGGAAGAGGGCACTGGGCGGGGCCGGTCGCCGGAAGGGGGACCGCGGCGTGGGGCGGGGCCGAGAGTCAACGCACGACCAGCGTGGGGGGCGGGGCCGGCATTGGAGCGGGACTCGGGGCGTGGGGCGGGACCGGACCGTGGGCGGGGCGGAGAGCTCTAGACCGAGACCAAAAGCTGGGAAGGGGAAGAAGTCGCGGGGACCTCGAGCGTGCGTGCGAGGCCTAAAGCGCGCTAGGCTTGCTTGGCGCTGGGAGCTGGACCGAACGCGTGGGCGGGGGCAGGCATGCCGGCAGGGCGGAGCCTTGGGCGAGGGGTGGAGCAAGGCGCTCCCAGAAACCCCGAGCGGGCGGCGGCGGGCAACTACCGCAGTTACGTGGGCTGGGGCGTCCGGGAGTGGGGCGTGGGGAGGCGCCCCCGAGAGGGTCCCTGAATGATGGTGGCCACCAGGACGGCCTGGCCGGGTCGCCGAGTCCCTGTCTCCCCCTTCTGTGTGCCTGCTGTCCCCCTGCTGGCCGGGACCCTGAGAAGGTGAGCTCCACGCCCCCTGAGTCCCAGGCAGGCCAGATTCAGGGTCAGGGCACACAGTAGTCAGTAGGCATCCAATAAATGCTGGCTGTCACTCGGGCGGAAGCCCCAGCTTCCAAAGGGCCCTCGGCCAAGACTGGCTGAGACCCCACCCTGGCTGGGTCCTACCTAGATTTCTCTTAGACACTATCCAAGGTCTGCATAAGGGCAACCTTTCCTTCCCATCACTGCCCTCGGGTCCCACTGGTCCAGCCCACCCAAAAGAAAGGGCTTCTGCGTGTCCCCATCCTGTACCCACCCCTCCCGACCCCCACTGCCACCATGGCACCGCTTGCCTAACCTGCAAGCCAATTCCATATTGCCCACCCACCATGGCCCCTTCCTGAGGGAAGGATGTGGGCACCAGGAATGGATTACTGCGCCTAAGGAATCGCTTCTGCCACCCACCATGACCACACAGGACCTGTCCACAGAGCTACACCAGGCCTGGCACCTCAAGAAATGTTCCCAGCAGCTCCCAGGGGACAACTATACCCCAGTTCTACAGATAAGGAAGTTGCAGCTCAAGCCACATAGGGTCCTGCTCACCTTCTCCCGCCCTAGGGCTCCCAATGCATCCCACTCCATCCCGGCAACCCTCAGCTGGCCAGCTCTCTGGTACCTTATAGCCCTTCAGCTCCCTTCCCTGGTATCTCCTCCACACCACCCTCCCTGGGCATCTTGTCACTTGCCCACATTCATGCTTCCACTATGCTGCTCTCTCAAATTCCCCAGGTACCTCTAATGCCATGGTACCTTCTGGGCACAGCTCATCCTCACTGCCCAACCTCATTCTACATAGCTCCCCAGCAAAGGAAGAAGTCCCAGCTCGGGGTTACCTGAGCCACCAGCCAGCCTCCCACCCAGCTGCCCCCCAGTGGCACCTGGGATGAGCAGGTACGGAGGCATCCCAACCCCCAGCCACTGCCAGCCTGCCTCTCCCAGGACTCAGCATAGCATCTGATGCCTAGGCTGTTGTAGAAAAATGGGACAGTGAGGGATGAAGGCTACCAGGGAAGCACCCCAGCCAGCCAAGGGCCCAGGCCATCCTCTAAAACAATCACCATGCCTTGGAGCAGGCTGGGCAGGGACTAGGGCCATGGGTATGGACAGCACATCACAGGAGCTATGCTGCTGAACCAACACTGGCCCCACGAGGATCCTGACAGTGTCCCTGTCACCTGCATCCAGCTGGGGTTGCTCCAAGCCCCACAGTGCTGAGCAAAGGGGATACTCTACAAGCCCCTCTCGAGTGGGCTGGACAGACAGCAGGACCCCCAGCACACTGGCCCTCAGGCTGCCCCCGAATCCCAGACACAGGCCCCCAGTGCTTGCCTTGGTTGTGCGGAGCTGCTGCTGAGGCCGGACCAGGCTTCTGGGGTGGTGTCCGTACCCATCCTCCTCCTGGCGCACAGCTGCAGGTGTCTCCAGGCCCTGGGACCAGAACAGGGCCCTTGGGCCTCTGGCTCCTTGGGGCACTCACCCTGCAGGGACAGGAAGGTAGTCAGAAAGCAGGCCTGTTACAGTGGGTTATACCTGCAGGCATGGAGAGGAGGTTGTCTTCGGGGGACCCCAGGAAGGGGCTCAGAGAAGGCTCGGGAGAGAGGCAGGAAACGCAGCGCTAGCGCCTGCAGCGGCCAGAGCTGAGGCCCGACGCGGCCCTGGAAGCTCCCTCTGAACAGGCGGGTTCTGTGAGAGCACCGTTTTCATCAGAGACCTTTTAAAACAACCTTTAACCAGGAACAGGAGTTTGCCTCTAGAGGCTTTGATTTGATTAACTGTAGATGACATTTATTTAGGCTTTCCAGGAACTAAATGAAAAACTTAAGAAGAGAAATGGAATTGTTTCCTTAGACATAAAAGGAATCCTCAAAGTGAGCTTTGAAGCCTTACACGTTGGTCCATGTGGCTGAGGAAAAATGCCTATTAAAAGTGATCCGGAGGTATCGTCCAAGGTGCGCTGAGGAGGCATGTTGAGGCACACCCACGTGGCCCAGTACCTGATGGCGGGTCAGCTAGAGATTGGATCTTGTGTGACAGGTCCCCACCATCTTTCTGAGAGGTGAGGTCAAGGAGGGATGGTCCTGATCAGGGCTTCTGGTGGGAGACACAAGCCTCAAGCTGGGCCCCTTCCATGCTCTCCATTCCCTGACCCTCCACCTGGTCCACAGGCGTGGAGGTGGGGTGGGTGGGCAGGTGAGGCCCCTGGGAGGGAGGAAGGCCTTGGCTCATCCAGTTGTGGTGCATGAGGAGTGGGCTTCCCTTCAAGGGTGCAGCCCCAGCCACAATGGCCGGCCACCTTCCCACCATCAGCCCAGGCACCCCGAGCTCCATCCCTTGTCCCTGAGTGTCCTTTTTCCGCTGGCTCTAGGTAGAGGCAGATGCTGTTTGTGACCCCATGCCAATCCGAGCAAAGGACTTGGAGACTTAACACCAAGGTCGTGAGATTTAACACTAAGAAGAAAAGCTATAAAACCACATGTACAGAGTGCCTACTTCTCTGAATACAGAAAATGTGCATAAAGGCAGGAAAGCTGAAAAACCATCCCAGAGCATCAATACCGGTTATTAATGAGAGCAGAATTAGGGGTGGGTTCCATTCTCTCCTCTGCGCAGCCAGTTAGAAGTTCTACAATCCAGTGGAAACCACGAAGCTCCTCCTTTCCATTGAAGGTCAGTATAATTTCACCCATCAGAGCAGGCGGGTGGTGCGAATGAGGGCCCCCGGGGACAGGAGGGAGCTGCCTGTCAGGCAGTGGAAGGCGCGGTGTCCGCCCCATCCTGCGACTGCAGCAGTTGCCCCACGACGAGCAAGTGCCTCCTCGAGCTTCCTGGCCACTAGGCTCCCTGTGGGCACCCTGGGCTGGGGCCTCCTGCCTCTGCCATCCTGTGTTTGGCTCCTCTTGCCCTTCGCACCTGTGAGGCAGGTGTGCTGTCCATGCTGGCGTTTTGCATCCCTCTTGCTGTTTGGAATTCTCTTGCCAACCCCTCAGCTGAAGCCACCTTAGGCAGATGAGACCCAGTGCCAGGTAGGGCAAATGGGACACGCGCAGGGCTTTGCCTGATACCTGGCACGACCACCACCTTCTAACCCTGCTGCTCTGTGTCGCCCTGTCCCGATGGTCACTGCACCCAGAAGCTACCAGCAGCTGCATGCAGCGTGTCACACATCATTGTGCTCTCCCCTTTCAAGGCAAGGGGGTCCTACCCTCAGAGGGGTGGGGAGTGACACATGCAGCTGCTGCGGGGCGAGAGGCAGGGTCTCAGACAGAAGCACCTGCCATGGTCACTGCTTGTTCCACTTGCTCAGTGGCCCATCCGGCTGGTGCGGTGCTCGTCCCACATCCCCTGCATGGATGACTCACCCAGCAGACCTGGCCCAGCCCCCCAATCCCTGCTGGCCTGGGCTAAGAGTCAGGCCCCAAGGCCAACAGGAAAGCAGTGGCATGGTGGTAGGTGCGTGGGCCCAAGGGCAGCACGCTCCCTCCCAGGGTGCCTTACGCACACCCCCTACCTCAGGTCTCACCCCCAGTGTCCTGAGGGACACTCCAGGCTGAGAGGCACAGCAGGGACATCTTCCCACACTGCCCTTCTGGAGGATTCTGCCCCCAGGGGTGTATCTGGGGGTGCGTCCAAGGGATGGTCACATAAGCTCATGCCTGGAGGGTGGGCATAGGTATGAGATGGCCCCCACCAGCCACAGAGAGTAGCCTACTCCGCTATAACCCAGTGCCTCCCCAGCTTGGGAGCCTCTGGGACATGGGGAGGTGCCGCGAGGGTTGCCTGGTTCCTGCCTCCCTGGAGACTTGAGTATCCGCCTGTGTCTTGGTCCAGCCAGTGACTCTGGGTAAGGCAGGCACCTCTTTGACCCAGAGAATCCTCCTTCGCAAAATGAGGGTCCTGACCTAACCCTGCTGGCCTCAGAGGTCTGTATGTGACCTCTGCAAATGAGCCCAGGCTTCAAGGTGGAGCCCATGCTGGCAAGGCCCAGGTCAAGTATCTCAGACACACCACAAGTACAGGGCAGGTCTGCTGGGCTCCTCCAACCCCAGCTTGATTTCCTAGGAACGTGGTATCCAAATACAGGGGCTGGGCACCCGAGGGGGCTCAGGTGACTTGTGGGAGAAGCAGGTGAAGTCCTGCCTGCCTGGGCAGCCTAGGCCATTTCCCCTTACACACTTGGGCACATCTGCCCTCCTGCCACGCTGACCTTCATGCCTGTGTCCTAGCTGCCCCCTCCCTGGAATACCCTTCCTGTCCTGACACCCATCCCTGAAGGCCCCCAGTGGGGAGGCCACATGCCCCTTCATTAGTTATAAGTTCTCCCCCACCCCCACTCCATCTGACACCTTATCAAGCCCCACAAACCTGCACAGTCCCTGGACCAGGGGCCACCCATGAGCTCGTAGCCGGGGACTTTGTGTTGGGAGGTGGGGAGATGCCATCCCAGGAGGGCCAACTGCCCTCACCCACAGCCCACGACCCCCAGGTCAGCCTCTGCTGCACCAGTCTCTTTGCCACCTGCCCTCTGCTTTGCTGTCTCTCGCTGTCTCTCTGGGCTGCTGAGGAGCCCTGCAGCCTGCATGGCCAAACTATAAGTATGTGATTATGTATGCCAGGGTCCCTCTAGCCCTTTGTTGCTGCAGAATCTGTTGTAGCAAACAAAAGTGCATTGGATTAGCCACAGTGGATTAAAAGATTTGCTTCTCAGAGTTTATCTAATAACCTAACAATTGTGCCTACAGAGGCTTTGAACCTCCAGGACACGCTCACCAGGCCATCTGGGAGCTCTCCTGTGAGGGCAGCAGACGGCAGGCGGGTGATTACAGGCAGCCACTGCCCAGCCTCACACTTGGCTCTGCCCACAGCCAGGCCTGTGCTCTCAGCCCCTGCCAGACCTGTCTGGGCCAAACCTGGGGATAGGATCAGACCCCAGGAGAAGAAGGTGGAGGCCAGCTGAGGGGACGAGGCACGGCCAGGACTGCCTACCAGAGGGCCTGGGGTCCAAGGCCGGGTGTGGGTGGTGGGGGCCAAGGCTCGCCTGCACCCCGCTGCCTCGCCGGGCACACCCACACAGCACACACGGCATCAAGGACACAAGCAATGTGGAGGATGGCCGTGGCAGGCAAGGGACAAGCCAGGCTTCACCACGCTGCGGCGCACAGCCCCACGGTGCACGTTCCTGGACACGCGTGCACTTACACACATGCACACGCACAAGGATGGCTCTCTTTGATCACCAAAGGACACTCCATTTACAAGCTCTTAATCGCAGCTGCTTTTTCGGCGCCTGTCCTCTGAAGTCCCAAGTAATGGGATTTGGCACTTCTGATCCATCTTGGGCTGGCCGCTCCCATTATAGATGGACATTTTTCCCCTTTTTTCTGCTTCTTTTTTTTTCTCAAATAAAAAAACCTTCTTAGGCCACATTGACTTGACATGGCTTGTCACCCAGCCCTGGGAGTGGTGGCCCCAAGGGCTGGGCGGCTCTTAAGCCAAGGGCCCTGACCAGGTGGAGGTCTTTGATGCCGCCTCCATGTGAAGTCTGAGTGACCCGCAAGCGTGGCCTTGGGGGCCACAGTGCGGAGGGACTCAGCCAGCCGTGTGCTGCCCTCTTTGTCTCTCTGCCATGACCCTTCCTTGGGACATCAGGGGGCCAGTCCCAGGGCAAGGATGTGAGTGTGTGTGCGTGCATGCGGGGTGCAGAGGGTGGGGTGGGCAGGGTGCCGGCCACAAGAACAATGGGTAGCAGGGAGCACGCCCACCTATCCGCCCGTTCCTCTGCCCGTCTGTCCATCACCTGCCCAGCTTACCTCACCTGCCTGGCTCCGTGGGCCTGCTCGCGCACCTCCATTCCATGGTCTGCCATGACGGGCTTGGCCGGCCGTCAGCGCCCCCTCAGCCACTCCAGGTAGCGGGTCCCTGCTCTTGGCCACTGTGTGGCTGGGAGGAAGAAGCGTGGCTCTAGGCTGCAGCTCGGGCTCCCACCGCCGATTGGCTGAGGCAGGGACCAGATGACGGCCTCGGAACCCTATGGTAGCCATGGCAACCAGCCCCTTTAGACACCGCCACCCCCGGGCCACTCCTGGCTGCCAGGGGAGCAGGCAGCGCCGCCGGCGGGCCCATTCGGGGGTCCCCTCAGAGGGTCGGGTCGGGCCTGGCTGGATGTGGCTGCTCCGCACCAGCAACGCAGCCTTTCCCTGTGTGTGCGTTTCACGCCTGTCCAGTGTGAGGGGTCCTGTCCCTCTCGGGACATGCCCCAAGCCACTCCATGCTCCGCCTGATACCCCTGGTGGAAGCAGGAACAGTGCCCTAGTAGCCCTGCTGAGAGGAGGACTTCAGGTCAGGCTTGCCCCAGGGACTGAAGGCCAGTCCCCGTGGGTGACGGGAGGCAGAGCAGGGGGACTCCCCACTCCCAGGGAGGCACAGCCAAGTTCTCAGCCCACTTCAGACCCCACTGGGCCTACCAGCTTCGTCTCTGCCTTCCAGCCCCTCCCCCACACTTCTTAGCCTGGTGAACACACAGCTAGGCCCACAGTCCCCTCTGAGCCTTTGCAGGCCTTGCTGCCCACCCAGCAGGACCCTGGGACTTTGGCCACACCAAGCAGACACTTGCCAGCCACGTGGAAAGTGGCTTCACCCCAGTGACTTTGCACCTGCTCTTGCCCCGGCCTCCATCCTCAGGGCCCGTCAGCACCGGCCCCTCAGTGAGGTCTTCCCGATGTCTCAAGGTCAGGACTTCTCGGCAAGGCCACAGTGCAGCCTCACTAGGACCGACCATCCTGGGGTGGCAGAGCTTTGAGAATTCTAGAGCCACCCCACCCCCACCTGACAGCCCCTGGCCTGTCCACACGAGCCTGGGATCAGCACCCCATACACAGCCGAGGGCCCCAGGAGGCCACATCCCACTTCCTGGCCTACGCCCACCCCACATCTGCCCAACAGACTGAGGCAAGGATACCCACAGAGCCGTGAGAAGCGGTGCGAGCCTTGAGCCCCTGGGGACAGGGCTGGGGTGGGGCTAGGGCCTACTGGGGAGGCCACTGCCAAGGCCAGAAGGACCTGGGAGCCAGGCTCAGGGTAGGCCGGGCCGGGCCCAGAGCCAAGGGCAGTTGCTGCCCAGCCACCCCCAGACTTGGCCTCAGAATTCTTCACACTGGCCCGGACCCACCCCAAACTGCCCGGTCACGAGGGCTCCCCTGCCATGCTGGCTGCCACTAGCAGACAGGTATGGGTGGGGACCAGCCTGGGTCAGCTGGGGTGCTGGGAAGGTCCAGAGGCAGGGGCCCCACCTGGGGCTCGGGTAAGCTTGGGGAGGGCTCCCGTGTGCTGCGGCAGAGGGTGCACCTGGTCCAGCCTCCAGCCGGGGGGCTGGGGAGGGGCTCGCAGGGTGGCAGTGGGTGGTGAAGGTGGAGATAGGAGTCCAAGCACAAGCTGAGGGAAAAGCAGTGCACATGGGTGGGCCTCACCATGTTCCCCTGGGACCTTAGCACCCTGACAGGTTGCAAGGCAGGGGTGCAGGGGCCTGGGAATTGATTGCTCTCTTCACCCACCCCTTCCTGCAGTCAGTGCACACCTGGGCAGGACTCAGGTCCTAAGACTCAGGGCGAGGGGTCAGGAACAACAAAGCCCTGGACTGGGCCCCACCTTTCCTGTCATGTTGTGCCATCTCTAGACGGGATCTTGATGCCCTTCCTGGGACTCAGGGGCATTGGAACAAGACAACGGACACAAGGCCTTGGGACACCACACTTGCCAGGGTCCTCTACTGCCCTGGTTCCAAGGGACCCCTCCCGTGTCCATAGCTACAGCCATTCTCATTGAAGCTAACAGGTTGAGCTGTTTTCATGGAAACACGTTCAGCCAATCTCATGGGGACACATGGGGAAGGAGGGGGGTTTGCCCCTGAAGGCTTGGGGAATGCAGCCCAGCTGGTGCAGGGACAGGGGCATGGCCTTCACCCACTGTGAGCTAGTCAGGGCAACCCTGGCCTGGGAGGGTTTGACCTTGGTCAGCACGACCCTAACCCACAATCCAGGCTTTTGAAGGTTTGCTGGGCCCACAGCCCTGGAGAGGGTGTGCGTGGAAGGCAGGAACATGTGGCCATCCGGGCTCCCACAGCACAGACCCTGGCTCTCTGTGCAGTCCTGTGTCCCTGCCCCCACCCCCACACCCCACAAGGTGAATATTATGCTGGATCCAGCTTGCAGAGGCCTGTCCCAGACCTGGGTTTTGGGGTGTCACTCACAGAGCGCTTAACCTTTTCTGAATCGAGGATGTCTGTGAGAATTTGAGGAAACTCACACTGTCCCTGCCAGAAAAGCACTCAGGGCAAAGGCCATCTGAGCCCCATTCAGGTTACAAGTACGTGAATGATCCGCTGAGGCCATGCTGAGCTCCTGCTCGCCAGCAGCCTGGGGCACTGGGGGAGCGGAGCCAATGCAGGCTGGGACTCAGTCTCCAACCAGGCCCACCACTGCTGGCATGGAGACGAAGGCCCAGAGCACCCCCACCCCCACCCCCCCGCTCCAACCCTAGGAATCCAATACATGAACCCCACAGGTCCTGGCAAGAGTGCCCCTTGACCTGTGGCCTTAGTTGGAATGGAAAAGCTCAGCAAGGGGTGCCCAAGAGCCAAGATCAATCACCTGGGGACATCCTGGGTGCACACTGCAGGGACGACCCAGGGAACAGGCCGAGGCTGCAAAGGGATCAGTCTGATTTAGCGCAGGGCTGACCACAGGAACGGCAGTGCGGCTTCTGGGAAGCCTGGCCTGTCCAGAACTCGGCCCAACTGGCTGGAGCTGAGGCCTTGGTTGGGACACCTGGGCTATATCATGCAGGACCGCCACAGCCCCTGCTCTCTCATTGGCAGCTTTCGGTAAAAATTTTTTTAATGAAAAACTCTTCACAAAGTTGGGACATTGTGTGGGGATACACTTGTCTTCAGAGCATCAAGACACGTGGGGTCCAGAGGTGCTCCCAAAGGAGTTTGGGACTGGTGACAGGGTTTCCCAGCTGTAAACAGACACCTCAGCATCACTCCCTCCAGGGCAGGCCCCAACCCTCCATAGCCACCTCATGAGCCATGGGGTGTTGGGGCCCTCCCATGACTGTGCCCCTACAGCTGCATCCCCACGAACAAGCCCAGGTATCCCCACTGACACCATCCCTCAAGGAAGCCTGGTGCCCCTCGGTCAGTTACCAGGACCAAGTCAGGGGAACCCTCCTGGACACCCCAAAAAGGCCTGATATGGTCTCAAAGCTCAGTACTTCCAGGTTAAGGGTCAGGTCAAGGCACCCCCAAATCACAGAGTAGGAGAAGCCTCAGGGTACCTGGCCCAGCCTCTCACTGGGAGCCATATCCCTACCTGGCATCAAGTATGGGTCAGCCAAGGAAGGCACAGCCACACCCACAGGCTACACTGCCCACTCTCTGTGACAGACAGGGCGGTACTGACCAAAGCTCCCAATTCAAGGCTTTCCCCACAGATGCTGCCACCAGCACAGCCTTCCGGAGCTGGTGGGGGTACATCCCTGTCACCCCCAAAGCCAGGCCACTGCTTCCCTGCCTGCTGTGGAGAACACATGCACGCAGGCAGGGACATGCGACAGGGAGGGGGCAAGCGCCTCTTGCTCTATCGCGGGCGCCTTCAGCCATGCTGGGCTCTGTCCCAGAGGCGAGAACAGCACAACAGAACCCTGGCTCCCAGCTGAGCCGGGACCACCGCCCACCGCACCACATCCTGGGGCTCTGGGGCGGGAGTCAGGGGGTCAGAGGCTGAGGAGAGCCCCGGTCCTCCAAGCAGGGAAGCACACACACAGTCTGGCTCAGACTTTACTTGCACTGCCCCCACCAAGTACGGTGGCCCTGCCTCGCTGGGCCTTTGCCTGGGTGGGGAGAGAGCTCCCTCAGGCCTCTGGGGGTCATCAGGGGCTCCACAAAGCCCACTCCACCCAGGGGCACACACAGGAAGAGGGGTGCCCTCGCCACCACGCCAGGCTCTGTGCCCACAGAGCTGAAGGGGAGCTGAGTCTGGCTGTCAGGAGCAGGTCACTGTGTGGCCAATTCCCGCTGGCTCTTCTGCACCACCGCTGGCTCAGACAGCGCCTGCTGCTGAAGCTGCGTGATCAGCTCCTCCACGTAGACCTTGAACAGAGGAACAGGGTCCTACAGGGACAAGACAGGTCAGTGAAGAGCCCTGAGAAAGGTGGGAATCCAGCTGCTGCTGCCCGAACAGAGGGATGAGGCCTGAGAGGACCAGGTCCCCCAGGCTTGAATACAGACCAAACTCTTTGCCACCCCCAGGCCCCAGCCCAGAGGGCAGTGCCCTGTCCGTGAGACAGGGGCCACCTTCTCATGGGGACACAGGGACCAGGCGCCTGCCCCTGGAGTTCCTGCCTTGGGGTACTGTGGCGGCAGAAAAACAAGCAGAAGAAACATGGATTGCGGCTGCTATGTCATAGGTGGGTTCCCTGTCCCAGAAGCTACCACAGACCCCAGACTCTTCTAGGGACCCCGGACAGCCAAATAAACCAATGGTGTAAAAATCCAGCTCTTTTCACCTAGTCTTTCTGTTCATGAACTTATGAAGCTGGCACAGAGGATCAGGACCCTAATGGGAGAGAACGTGCCACCTGGACCCCACGGGCGCTGTGGCCCCTCCCTTCCGTCCGCAAGGCTTGGCACTGGGCCCACCCCTGAGAAGGCAGGGCAGCGGGGGCTCGCACATGCTCACCTTCTCCTCCAGAAGCCGCTGCTTCTCCACAGCCTCGTCCAGTGTCAGGCCAACCCACTCAGCCTCTGCCTCTGGGATAACAAACTCCTGGGCAGGCAGAGACGGGGGTGGGGAGGGGGGTGGGGGGGCGCAGTGAGGCGGGGGCAGGGGTGGGGGCGCTGGGGGGCCCAGGCGGAGCAGGAAGCACAGGCCAAAGCCCTCACCTTGTACTTGTCATAGATGGCTGCCCTCCTCTCAGGGTCGCCCGGGTGCAGCTCTGGGTCCCGTCGGGCAAGCCGCAGGAGCATACCTCGCTTCAGGTCCATCCCGAACTTGGAGCACAGGTCTTCCTTTGGGGTCTGGTAAGAGGCTACGCATGAGACCAGGAATCGCCAGTAGGGCCCCGCTCCCCTGCCTGTCCCCAGCATTGGGTGGGCCTTAGGCCAGCCTGGCAGGGCAATGGGCTACGTGGGCAGCCCCAGCCCCCAGGCCAGAACAGAAGACAGCCTAAGCATAAGGGAGGAGACAGCTGCTCTCACTGAGTAACCCTCCACCCCAGACGTCAGTGTGCCCACTGAGCCTGCCCACGAGGACCCACTGTGTGCTGTCTGGCATGCCCTACTTGCCTTGAGGATGTAGAAGTCAAACCCATAGGCCTCATCAATGAGATCCAGGGTCCTCATGGTCACAGTCACACTGAAGGTTGCATCCAGGATTTCACTGTGGAGCTCACGCTGAAACAGCTGTGGCTTCCACACCTTCTTCACCCTCTTGGACAGCTGTGGAGAGACAGACTGTGTGCCTACAGGCCCAAGGGCTCCAGGCACCCTCCTGAGGCCTGGGACATGGAGCTGGGTGGACCACCCCCACCTGTGGACTTGACTGCCCACCAAGAGGTCAGCTGCTCCTCAGCCAGCCTGGTACCCCCAGATCCTCCCAGCAGCTGGTGTGTGTTCCAGGCATGCCACACCATCGTCCACAGGTCATCACATCCTACACTAGGGACCTAGGGGCCGAAGGCAAAGGGAGACACCAGCCTCTCCCAGAGACTGGGCAGCCCCTTCCAGGGTTCCCACCAGAGACAGCCCGGCGTCAGGGGTAGTCTCAGGAGGCCTGGCCTGGGTCAGTCTCTCAGCCCTCCTACGTGCAGCCAGGAAGTGGCAGTGCCAGCCTTGGGTTATGAGAAGCAGGCAAGGCAAACTGTGGTGCTCAAGGCTGACAGGTGACCACAGACCTCACCTCTCCTACCTCCCCTCAATACACAGGCCTCCTCCCCATACTTACACTTGATCTGGGGAACCACCCCAGGGCCTCTGCACTGACGGTTTCCCATATGGACCACCTGTCTCAGAGTGCCCAGCTGGTTTCACAGGGAGCAGTACTTGCCCAAACTATAACTCTACTTATCAGCACGTTCCCCAGACTGTCCTGTCCTGTCCTGTCAGCTCTGGTGCCCAGCAGCGAGACCAGAGCAGCAAACCCCAGATCACCCACCTTGTCATTGTTGGTGTATCTGTGGCCCAGGATCCAGCCTTCGCCGCCCCACAGCCCCAGCTGGGACTCCGGGGGATGGTAAATGGGAATGGGCACGTCCTCCACGCGCTCCCGCTGCCCGTTCTTGGGGCTGATCTTGAACTTGGCCCCGTGCGGCCTGTAGTGCACGGGCGTGGGCGTCCGCGCCTCCTCCAGGGAGCGTAGGTAGTGGCTGGGCAGGCGGGAGCACAAGCCCTCGCGCAGCAGGAGCTGCTTCCACAGGTGGACCGGGACCTTGTGCAGGGGCATCGCGGCGCGCCTGGAGAGAGGCAGGGGCGGGGGCCGCCGTCACGCCGCAGCCCAGCCAGACCCGACCCAGTCCTCAACCCCGGTGCGACCAGACCCCGCCGGAAGCCAGGTACCCCGCTCGATTCGGCGGGCGCCGAGCCGCGGAGCCTACCACCCAAGAGCCGTGCGGCGCCGGAACCGGAAGCCCCACGCTCTACCCCCGCTGACTGGCTGCGACACCCGTCCGTCTAACCCTCGTCCCGCCCTCTTTTCTTCCATCTTTAGGGACCGTGGAAAACGCTCTACAGACACGGCGGCACCGCCAGGCACCGTCTGCAAGTGCGGCCGCGTCTCCCGCGAGCTGCAACCTGGGCGGGGCGGGATCCCCCCCGGGCAGGATGCCCCCTCACTCCCACCCACCTCCTCCCGGAGGCGCAGACAGTAAGGTAACCCATTTGCCTTGAAATATCAATGTAGAATAGTCACCAATCACAGCGGAATCAGAGCCAGTGGAGGCCACAACTGGACAGGACACAGAAGGGATGCCCCTAGACCAGAAGGTGGGAGGGCTGCAAGCCGACCCTGCTCCCCAGCTTCCCACGGCCCCGCCCAGCACCCATCCCACAGGCAGTGGCCCTGCCTTGGCGACTTAGGGAGGGCGGGGCACTGCTCCTGGGGCAGTTTCATCTCTTTTACCCTGCTTCCCGCACAGAGGAAAGAGAGAGGCTGGGCCAGGTCCGCAGGAGCCTGCTCTCCAAATGAGGGTCGGACCAGTGCAGGGCAGCGGCCATCCCCTCCTCTCCTGGGGGCAGCTGAAGAGTATGCGCCCCATACAAGGGCCCTGGGTCCCGGAGTGGGTGCAGACACAAGGTTGAGGCAAGGGGGGGGGCCTGTGGTGCCGGCACCCCCAGAGCCAGGGCAGCTGGGCAGCCCTCTCCACAGGAAGCTCTTCTTGGGGGCCTGGAGCTCCGAAGGGAGGGGCGGGACCAGAAGCCAGCCGCTCCTAGTCTTAGGGCATCTGGCCTCTGCGTACCCCAGGACCCATTAGGGGCCTGGTGATTGCAGTCACCTCTCCCTACAGCGACTGCATCAGCGTGGGGACATCCGCAAGCCTGAGGAAGGCTGGCATTCAGGGGCACACAGTGGTCGGAGCCAGGGATGCAGGGAGGGCACAGTCACCAGCCTCAGCAGCGGGGACCTGTGGGAGGTGGGCAAGGCCTCCTCTGTCCCTCTGGGTCAATCACAGCCTTGGCAGATTCTTTCCTCACATCTCCAACCATCCCCTGGTGAGAACACACAGCCTTACCCACACGGTACCTGTATTCTCCAGGCAGCCAGGCGCAGGCCCAGGGGCCGCTGCAAACACCAGCTAGGACCCGCAGGGGGACCGCAACAGCCAGACAGTGGGCACAGGGGAGCTGGGGCGTGCAGTTCTCTCCTCGGGAGGAGGAAGCAAAGAGGTGTGCAGGGCAATTTTATTCAGCTGGAAATTGATCTGCACGGGGTCCCTCTCCCTCAGTCCTGCCCCTCATTGGAGAGGTCATCCTGAGAGCTGCCACGACCCTGTCACGTCACCGCATACAGCTCCTCCTGGTGGTTCCTGCAGATCTGATAGTGGCAGGGGAGCTTCTGCGAACAGGCCCAGGGCTTGGTGTGCATATCCCTCGGTCGCAGCAGGAATGTGGGGAACATGTGCCAGATGCTGTGGGTGTAGTAGTAGTTGTCACTGGTTGTCATAGAGGTATAGATGGCAACGGCCACGGCAGCCATGCTGATGCCAGGCAGGAGGCAGAAGGCCCAGCGCTGCTAGGAGGTGGGGTAGTAGTGGCACCGGTGCCCACAGCGGTATACCTAGAGAAAACCGACAAATGAGCATGGTGGGGGGGTTGGGCAGGGGTGGCTACAACTCCTAGCCTGCCCAGGCCCGAGCAGGGGACCGCAGGTGTGGGCTGCTTGGAGGGCGCTCACTGGCACAAAGACCTGAGGGGTCCTCAGGCATGAGGCATGCTGGGCCCCAAGGGGGCCAAGTGTAGGATCAGCAGGTGTGCAGGACTCAGTCCCAGGGTGAGAGGCATGGCCAGAGTGAGGGGCTGGGCTCTGTCCTCCCACAGAGTGGAGAGACCATGCCCCCACCCCAGTCACCAAGGAAGGGGTGTGAGCCAGGATCATGAGGCTGCCCCAGCTCCTTAGCCACATGGTGGCCATGACTGCAAAGGCAAACAAACAAGGCCCCATCATGTTCCAGGCGCCCCTGCGGTCCAGCTGCAAGGACGTGGCAAACACCAGCGTGCCCAGAAGAAACAGAACCTGGGCAAGACACAGGGATAGCCACAGGGTCGCAGGAGCCCAGGTTCATCAGTGAAGCCCCAAGGTCCAACAGGAGCAGGTGGCCTGGTCATGCAGGTCATCTTGCTGTCCCCACTGCCCCCAGCATTTT